GCTGGCTGCCTTCCTACATTTCGCTGCCGTTGTTCGTCTTGGCTTTTGTGAATGCTGCTGCTGCCTTGCTGCCTTGCTGCCACCGTTGCACCGTCTTTCTGGCATTGTTCTGGCCGCCTCCATTGTTTTAATGCAACAGCCACGAAATGCAACTACGACAACGACAACCAGAATGGGGCAACGATGGGTATAGGGATAGGGATGGGTATGGGGATGACGACGTTGTAGCATTGTCAGTGCCGATGGTTACCTGGACGCCTGGGTGCCTGGGTGCCCGGGACGCCTGGGTGTCCCCTTACGCTGCGTCTGGCAATGTCTTCGTTTAGTTTTTGGGGGTTCATCGTGTTCGGCAGAACTGGAGGAGTACGAGCATATGCGACAAATAGAAGAGCATGTACCGCAAACAATACGTGAATTATTATTAATTAATTTACTATGCACAAATTATTTTTAGTGTAATTTATTTTTATTATTTTTATTTATTATTTATTTTATTTATTTATTATTTTATTTTAATCTTTATTTATTATTTTATTATTTATTTATTTTATTATGTAATAAATTGAATTTAATTTAATATTTATTAAAATTTTAACTTAATATAATTTTATAAATGCTTCTATATTTTTAATTTCCTTTTTTTAATTTTTTATATTTTTATTAGTTTTAAAATCAATTTATTTAATAATAGTACTATTTTTTTTACTGTTTTCTCGAGAATTCTTTTATTTTAATTAAATGGTTTAAAGGAATTGCAAATTTTTTAAGCCAAATCTGTTGATTAAGGGGTGTCCTTTTTATCGCTTAAAATATTCTAAATAAATTCTGAATGCGTTGTTGTAGCTGCCAAAAGACGTGGCTCGACGTGGCTGCTTTTCCAACTTAAGTGAAATAAAATACAATTTATTTGTATATTGTTTTGCTGTTGACAATTGTGCAGCGACTGACTGCTTCGAGCGTGCTGAGGGGTGGTGCTGCTGCTGCTGGGGTTGTGGGTGTGGGTGTAAGCAGTAGTTGAAGCTGTAGGAGTGTATGTGGCATGTGCCTCATTAGTGCTACATTTTGGGGTGGCTGTGGGGGGGTGCTATAGTGCATCCATTGTCTCTTGGATTGCCTCTCCCAAGTGGCAACTGGACGACACGACGTGACGATGCGCACATTTAATTGCGTTTCGTTCGGGTTTTGATTAAACAGAAACGCAATGCAATGCAATGGCAGGCAGGCAGACAGGCAGGCAGGCAGGCACTGGCTCAAAAGTAGGCCAAGAATTCCTGCACCGTGCATTGTCCATGCAACACAAAATCCAACCCAAAGCAAGGGGCTCTATAATTATCACAAATTATCACGAAAGACATGCTCACTCCAAAAAAAAAAAAAACAAATGGGGGAGAAAATAACAATTGCCAGCGATTGTTAGGGTAACAAAATAAATGTTAATTAAAGTTTAAATCGAAGCAATTAATTGAAACAATTTCTTCAAGTTTAAATACAATTTTTTTTTAAAGGGCAACATTTCTGTAAAACAGTACAAAGAATACAGTTAATAAATGCATCAATTAAATATGTACAAAATAAAGTGCATTTAAACCTTTTGCCATACATATATGTACATATGTAAATGTAATTTAATAATTAATTAATTTCCTTTTTAAAAGCAAAAAACTATTCATGAAAGTATTCCAAGTGCCATGTACCTGCAAATTAATTGTATAAATGATGGATTTATATATTTATTAACCATAATGGTTCTGTTCTGTTCGTTTGGGAATTCAATAGGCAGGCAAAAATTCATGGCACATTTCTTTTTTTTTGTTTTGGCTTGCACATGGCAGAGGCAGAGGTCGTCTTTAAGGGCTTTTGTCTTCAGAGATTATTTTTGGTAAATATGCCAAAAATAGAAGCCATTGTGCCGACATACCTAGACCCTCAGGTTGAGTCGTAAATTTTCGTACAGAGTTTTTTTTTCTTCCGATTTCTAGTCGGCTTAAATCATCTGCATTGTGCACGGAGGGGGCTGTGTGCAGCACTCCTATATACTCCGAATAATGAATTGTCCAGCATTAGCTGCAATTACACAACCTGCCAATCGACAGATCGGCCAATCGAAAATACACACAACACAAAAGATGGAGCATACAGCTTGGCAGCTCTGTGTGTGTGTGTGTGTGTGTGTGAGTGAGTGATTCAATCATTTGCTGCAGATGACGTTGCAAATGCAAAAGTCCCGAAATGAATTTTAATTTTCCAGAGTTTTGCAGCACACAGAAATGCAATTACTGGCCTCCTCCACTCGACGAACAACAACAAATCCAAGCCAAGTGCAGGAGCACCCTGTGTAGAGAAGGACCCCCACCCACCGACCCAAACAAAAGAAGCTACGAAACAAAAGGAGCCTTTTGGCAGGTGGGTCGTTCCTGTTGTTAATTAAGCCTAAAGACGAGACCAGCTCTTAACTCGAATATGAAGTGCAGTCCAGCACAAAAGCAGATTTCGATTACAATTATTATCCATCATTTTTGGGGGGGTGGTGGTGGGGTGTGGGGGGCGAATATGCATATTGCATAAAGCCGCAATTACAACTATTACAGAGTCCATCATCTATCATCAGTGTGGCATCAATGTAATTCCCACTTGTCTACTCTCCTGTGGCTGCTCCTGCTGGCTGCTGCTGCTGGCTGCACTTTTGCTTATTACTCGTATAAAATAATCAGAATTCAACAAATTCTCTCATTGTTAGTGCCGCTCCTGCCAGTCATTATTATTATTATTATGTGCCAAAAGCAGCAGCCAGGCAGCCAGGCAGCCAGGCAGCCAGCCACCCAGGCAGTTCACGTTTAAATCCATTGAACGCATGTCGACGACCACACGGCGTATACGCGATGCCCAAATGCCACACCTATCCCGGCAGCCAGTGTTTGAATGCATCTCTAATGCGTTATGCAAAACTGTCCATTGTGGCCATACCCGGTGCTGTTCGTGCCCGCGTGCATTGTTGCCCCTGCTGTTGCTGCTGTTGCTGCCACAAAGCAGGGACATCAGGTACACACGCACGCATGTGGGAATTTGTGAGCAAACAAAGAAAATTTGGTCGTTGAATGAACGTCGCGGGTAACAGAGAAACTGACTGCCAAAGCGACAATTATTATACACTCGAAACTGTCTGTCTGCAGTCTTCATATCAAAACACACACGGGGAACAGAGTTCCCTCGGGGGGATCTGTCATGCCTCAACGTCTCGTTCAGCTTTTGGAAGCAATAGCAATGCCTAACCAGCGCGGTATACTCACGGAAGCATTTGCTAGCTGTAGGATCAAATCTACTCGTAGCAGAATCCACCTTCTAGCAGCAGGACCCTCTCTGCCAAATGTATAGCGTATGGCTGGGCTGGCTGGCTGCTGGCAAATAGAAATAAAAATGCCATTGCATACACACAGGCGCCGGCCACAGACGCCGCCAACGTCCTGGCATTTAACTGCCAACGGATGTTATGGCCGAGTGAGTGACAGGAGGCGTGGCCCACGGGGGCAACAAAAAGAACGGCAGACCAGACCAGGCCAGACCAGGCCATACCAGAGAGCAGACGCAGCGACGCGGCGCTGAGTGGGTGTGTTGCCGAGAGCCTAGTTTCATTTTTAATTTATTGATGATTTTATCAACGGCCAATAACAAACCACAAAAGCATGGAGGAGCAGCAGGGGGCAACAGCAGCGGCAGCAAGGGGGGGCAGCAACAACAGCAACAACAACAATGCCAAACAAACAACGCAGCCAAAATGCTAAACGAAACAGCAACAATCATGCAAAAGGCAATAACACAAATCAGCCAAACACACAACTTATAGGTGCAAGGGGTATATTATATTCGTATCGGTTTTGGGCAAATGGAGCATACAAAAACAGGGCATATACTATTCGGCATAGAAAACAGGCTCACTGGACTTTTGCTGATGTCGGTATTGCAATTTCCATCGATCTGACACAGAGATCTTTAAGATTTTAAGCGCCAAAGTTATTTCAATTAGTTTACTCTAAAAACTTTTTTAAAAATAATTATTAAAATTAAAAAATTATTAAAATAAAAAATTATTTTATATAAATTAAATTCCAATTCAAAAATGTTAATTAAAATAAAAAGATATATATAAAATTTTAAATTAAATAACCCCGTAAGAAGTTATTACTTTGTATTATTGGATTAGGTGAATTAGTTAAAAAAAAACTATTTTAAAAATAATTATTTAAAATAAAAAATTATTTTTTAAAATATAAATTATATTCCAATTCAAAAATATATATGTAAAATTGTAAATAAAATATTTTTTTTATTTTTAATCTATAGAGCTAAAAATCGGCACAATTTGTAAATAAAAAAATTCTCTAACGAAAGATCTCTCATCTAAATAAATTTTTAAATATTCAATCCATTAAAAAAGTATATAATATCATATATACATATATAAATAAATTTAATTAAATTAACTAAAAGCCATGCCGCTACCCCCGCTACTCTCTGCTCTACAAATGTGTACTTATAAAGCTTCCACTTAAATCGCCTGCTACTTTAATTGCCACCGAAAAAGGTATTCCCGTGGTCGATATATTGGTAAATCTCTTTTTTCCGCTTTATCGTATTTTTTGTTGTTGTATGCAGTTTTTTTTTTTTATTTGTGTGGTCCACAAACGTTTTTGAGAAATTTGCGTTGATTTGTAAAGCGCGTCAGGTGCGGAAATGACGCCATTTTCGGTGTATATGTCCATAGGGAGTGGATGGCAGAAGGGAAGCGATGCGATGCGATGCGATGCCATGCGATGCGATGCGATGCCAGTAGAGAGAAGTGCAAATGGCAGTCGAGTGGCGTCGGCCATTTGCAATAAATGCCAAATATCCCCAAAAGCAGGCAATGGAAATGGCAATCGTTGATGTTGATGGCGCGTCCGCACGGCAATCGGCTCAGCGGCTGCCTGCCTGCCTGCCTGCGTAACCTGAGCTGAAACCTCTCACTGCCATCGCATCCCCTCCAACCGAACTGCAGTGCTTACAAATGCAAATTGAAACATGATAATTGGTCGCCGTCAAATGTGTACACTGGCAGAAAAAAAAAAAAATACATAAAAGAAATGAAATAGAGAAAATGGCAGAAAGTCTCATCGCGGATCGATTGAAAGTTTTGTGGCACTTATTTATTTATGTGGTCTATGAATTTTGGCTTAAAGTCTCGACTGCAATTTAAAGCCACTTATTATCAGCAAGCGCAGCTTGCAATATTCTAGCAAATATTTACGAGCCATCTGTTTGATTCTGTTGCCCAGCACATTGGCTGCTTTGCTTCCTGCATACATTTTAATCGCTGGCCAGCAGCTGCCAGTGTCAATGTTTTTCCTCCTGGCGTTTGTACGAATATACTGTGTATATCTCTTCGATCTCTCTGTGCTGCAAATGAAAACACTATTTAGTAGTGGGAAATGTCTTGAGTTGGGCCTTTGCTTTGCTAACGTTAATCTAAGCCTTGATCCGGGCTGCTCTTTTCTCTCATTGGCTGCTTGGCTTCTGTCTGATATCAGCCTGAGATCTGTAGCTGCAGTTGTGAGTGGGAAACCTTTGATCTTAGCACACTTTGATGCAGCCTTATCTTATTTTGCAGCTGAAATCGTGCTGCCTGCTGACTGCTGCCTGCTGTTGGCCTTCTTTCAGTTCTACACGCGCCACTGCTGCTGGCTGCCTCCTGCCACACATAACCGCCCCCCCACACAACCATTCGATCCTTTAAGCAGATTGAAATGCCATCAATGCCGTGCTGTGCCGTGCCGCACAATGCAATGCATCATGCACCATTTAATGAGCATGCCACTAAGCGTGCAACTTTACGAGCGCGAAAATAACAATGGAAATTAGTTCTATTGAACATTAATTATTATTGTAATGGGATTATTGCGAGGATAACAATACAACAAAAGAGAAAAGGAAAAAAAAAACACGCTTTAAATACGCGAAATTCAATCAGAAATTTCGACTGTTTTTTCCACTGTGCAACGGGGGCGGGTGGCTGGTGGGGGGGGTGGTGAAATATACTATGCATATGCAGGTGACTGTGTGTGCATGTGTGAGTGTGCGTGGTGGGGCAGGGGGGCGCAGGGGGGCGCAGATTAATTCACTCAACTGTAAAACCGCTCATTGCTGTAACATTTACGCAGCGGCGCGTCCTGCGGTCAGTGGCGTTGACCAGGACATGCCACGCCCCATTCGCCCAGCAAAATGATAGCCAGAGAGCGGAGCGAACGAGTGGCAAGTGGCAAGTGGCAGGTGGCAATAGCAGCTACCAGGTGCTCGTCCTGATTTGCTCGCTTTCGTTGCAATTGTATTCCACGGGACTCTTCAGATTCCTATAGCATAATTATGGCATGGCGCATGGCGCATGGGGCATGGGGCATGGGGCAACGTTGTGTGTCGCTTACAAAAGCTTAGCACTGGGCTTACAGTTACAGTTACAGTGCCACTGGGCACTGGACACTGCAACACTGCGACAGTGGCAGTTGCAGTTGCAACGACGACAAAGTGAGCCAGACTCAAAATTGGACTATCCGTTCGCCCAATTGATATTCCTGCTAATTGCCAACGCGTCCGTTCAATGTGCAACGTGCCCCCCATGCCATCCCACGCAATGTGCAACATGCATTCCGCCAACCGCCGTCAACTCTGCCTTGGGGGGGGGGGGCACAACCCAAATGCTGCCAATGCTGCCAAGTCGATATGCGTATTCTGCCGCCTACTGACCAATTATGGCCGCTTGGCCTCGCCACATGCCCCCCAACACCACCCACCCCACCCATTCACTCAGCGACGCTCCACTTCGCAGCAAGCCGCATGGCACGATTCATTGCCTAAGCAGCAACCACCTGCCCCCAAACCCCGTTCATGATCATAAATTTAATGACGTTGCCTGCCCATACATACATATGTAATGGCACATTACTAAGTATTTGGAGCCAAGGCAGGGGGCAGGGGCTTTGAGTACTGTTTAATGTTTGCCGGTTTACGGTATACAAAATATACACTACAATTTCGAACGCACTTCACACAGGATAAAAATTATGTTCTGCTTAAACATTGCAATATACATACATACATATATGGTAATCATGGTTAGTTAGTTATCTTATTCAGAAATTATTAAATTTAGAAAATTTGTAGGTGGAGTTTTGAGCCTTTTGGTAAATAAAGCTGTTGAATAATTTCGGTTTTTATTGATAGAAAGAATCTCTTAAGAGATATCACAATAGTATGACCCTTGAAAAACCAGACAAAACCAGAAAGAAGACAAACTCTGACTGTCACGAACTCTGCCTGCCAACATTTGTGCTTGGAAATTAAATTTAAAATTTTCAAAAAATCTCTAATAGTTAACTTTCTATAAACTCATAATTTTTGCTCGGCGTTTGCAATGCCAATTCCAAATAGAGTAATAGCTACAAAAAATTGTTTGACCTTTCATACGATTTTTTAATCGTGTGGATGCACAATGCACAATGTACCTGTAGATATTTTCAAGTGCATATAATTGTTATTAATTGTTAAAACAAAGTTTTGAACTTTTTTTATAGATCTCTAAAACTTAAAAAAAAAAATTGCATTCATTTTATGTGAACATTTTAAAATTGCAAAAAAAAAACAATTCCCAGAAAATTGTGCATAAAAAAGTCCATACGATTTTTTTAATCGTGTGGATACAATGCACAATGTACCAGAAGATATTTTCAAGTGAACATAATGGTTGTTAAATGTTATAATAATGTTTTGAGCTTTATTATAGACCTATAATACTTTCAGAAAAAGTTGCATTAATTTTATGTGAACATTTTAAAATTGTAAAAAAAAAAACTCACAAAAAATTGCCCATAAAAAAAAGGTGTTGATACCGATTTCAAGACCGATTTGCCTCAGGAAATATGGAAAAACTGAAATTCGAGTAGGATTTTGTGTGACCCTGTGGCTTTCCGTTTCTTTTAATTTTATTCCGGGTTTTGCTTCATGGGCCCCCGCCTTGCCTTGCCTTGCCTTGCCACGCCTTTTGCTATGCTTTGCTTTGCTTTGGCTGTTTGTTTGTTTGTTGTAGTAATTTTCCTAATTTCCAACTCAGTGCAGCAAAGACGAAAAGTGGAAACAAACCCGAATCAAAGCCTTGCCCGTCGCCAAAGCGTCCGCCCACTGCCAAGCGACACAACGACACGACGACCCACCAACGTTCAACCCACTCAGTGCGACGACGACGACGACGACGACGACGAAGAGTTTTCTGGGGCGAACGCCCGAAAAACGTTGTTCGCTTCGCTTTGTTCTAATTGAAAACGAAAATGTAATTAGTTCTCTCGCCTACAAACGACAATGTCGGAGGCGCTGCCAGACGAAGCTTCAAACGAAACCGAAAAACGCACGCAAATGTCGCAAAGTTTGTTTAAAAATTACCAAGGCAGCGAGGCAGCGTGGCAAGGAGAGAGGTTCGCAACCGGCCTGAGGGGGTGGCGCATTGGGGCTATGGCGATGAGTTTGTGGCAACAATTAGCAGCAAACAGCTCAAAGAATCGGCAACGGGAGCTTATTAGACGAAAGACGACTCCAACTACCAGCCCCAGTCCCAGTACCAGTACCAGTCCCATCCCCCCGCCACCGCCCCTCTTTAGGTCATGCCTTCAATGGCATGGGGCAAAAGTATACTTTATGCATATGGTGGCAAACACTTGCCAAAGCTTGAGCCGCGAAGCCAACAAAGCCAACTGCCAACTCACAGCTCCCCCCCCCACACACACACAGAAAGCGTAGGGTGGCATGTGCCAGGGATCTGGCGGGGATTTGGAGAGGATTTTTCTGTGGAAGTCGGACGAGTGCCAGGCCAAAGACTGGAACATGTTTAAAGTACTTCCGCGGTTGCCCTCAGCCTTCACCCACACACACACAAGTTATCCCAATACAATTGTTAGAGGTGGGCAACACTCTCTCCCTCTCCCTCTCTCTCTCTCTCTCTCTCTCTCCCCTCCAAACCAACTCTGGCGCTAATGAGCGAGCGAGCGAGCAGCAGCAGCAACAGGATGGGTTACAGAATAATGCTAATGGATATTTTGTGTTTTTTAGTTTGAATCAAAATGACACAATGAAAATCACCTGAATTAATTCCTAACATCATTTAAAACAGCATCGATGGGCTGTTCAAATCTTTTAATAAATGAAAATTTAATTTTACCCTTTTTTTCTTCCAGTCGAATATTTAATTTAAATATTCTATTTTGCTCTGAGTGTAGCAACCTACGGGAAAAAACGATTTTATCTAATGATTATTTATGTTAAATTTTTCCCTAGACTAGCATGGAGAATTGTGTCCAACCGATCGATCTCGCTGTATTTTGTTATTGGATTCTTCGCACCGAAATTTAAATATTTTCTGGATCTAGACAGGTAGACAGAGCTCTCCCCAAGATGCAATATCTTGGCAGCATATAGGCATTGATGGAATATTTTACACAAATTTAATGATGCCCCTAAACAAATTTAATTAAATATAAACTGTGAAAAACATTTAATATCAACCTTTTTTTGTTGCATTGATTTTTAGAAATATTCTGATTTAATTGAGCCTCACAATAATGGGCAATTAACAACATACAGTTGCGAAAAAAAATAATAGCGCCACTACAATACATTTTGTTCTTGATAAAAAAAAATGCGAGAACTCTTGGGTTTTTTTTAAATTTTTATTTTTTATATTGCTTGTTATTCCCCATAAACAAAAAAAGTGCTACCGCTCTTCAAATTTCTGTCTATATATTTTTTGTAACTGCTTTTCTGTTGCACAGCCCGGGAGAAATTCCGTGAGACATCCATGGACAGTGTATTAAATCTGCGGTTTATTTTGAGGATCAATTCTAAGGATTCTTGGCAACCTCAACACAAATGTATCTATGTGCGATGTGTGTGGGTGTGCCCCTTGTGTTATGCAATGCGCTTTTACTTTTACTTTTTCCTGCTTTCCCTGTCTGTTCTGTTCCCCCCTATCGCCTGTTCGATTCGCTTTCACTTTGTGCTCTCATGCAAATCTT